TCGCTGCTAGCTACAGTAGGACCTGCAGGTCTGCGGGTGACAAAAGTCATAAGGATCCTTGACGTCTGAAAAACGTTGTAGCGGTTAATTCTAGTTATAGTATGTTATAACGACTCACATAGGGGAGTTAACAACATTTCCAAGTTTACACGGAAAATTTTACTTTAAAAAGGGGTTTTATCTATTTAAAACTACAACCACGGTATAAGTACAAAATGCACACATACTCTCGGTCTTGGGATTTAAGACTACAAGACTTTTTATAAGGAAAATAAGGGGTTTTTCTTGAAGCATACATTACCATTACAAACAAAGGTTTTCAAACTCTACATCCAAAAGCTTATGAACTCATCAACTTAAATGTTGACACTCTTTCAAAACTACTTGTATTCACAGGAAACCAGTGAAACAGGTAAACAACTGCTTTTGAGGACGGGACTCAAGACGTCAATTTATACATTTTGTCATCATAATGTAATTGATTTTGAAACATGTAACCAATTATGGTGTAACTTTTCAATTATATTTATGATGGTTGTATTTACTATGAGCACTATTATACTCGTTGTTGTGATACTATACATGAAGTCCGCCACCCCCGGACGTTTCCGCCATCCTTGGTTTGGGGGTGTGACAAAGACGGCTAGAACAGATCCAATACAAGCGGAAAAACCCTAGAACACTCGCCAAAAGAGTTGCACATGGTTTACGCAATCTTCTGCTCTGATACCAATTGTTAGAATAAATATGAGTTGATCGATAGATTCTTAACAGAAAAGTAAATCAAACAATGAATGCAATGATCAAAATAGTGTCGAATGATTAATCAATTCCTTAGAAGAGCTCGATAAAGAACTTCTATTGTAAAGGCAAGTAGAGCAAAACAATACAATTGATGCCCTAATATGGTGCGTGCATGCACTATATATAGTCTAACTGATGCAGCGAACAAATGACCAAAGATCAAAACTGTTGATTCTAGAAGAATACCCAAGATAATCTTGCCCAAACCACGTTGATTCTATGAATACCGTGGGATTGGCTTCAAAATTCGGTAAACACACACGAAATTTTGAGAGAAAAATGAAAGTTCTTTAAACGATCAATGACCATCCAGATTACTCAGAAAGACTAAATAAGAAGCATAATTTTAAAAGAAACCCTAAAGAGACAGGGCCAAACACAAACCCAAAAACAAAGTCCAAAAATTATGAAAAAAACACAAAAATGTCCATAAGTCCAATTTAGAAAGCGATTTATGGACTCAAAAATTGGTAAGTCCCCTTCGGGTACTTATCTAGACGTGCTCCTTGCTTCAAGCTTCGATTTGACTGGTCGTAGGCCCAAAACGGAGATCCATAGCCAAAGTTATGGTCGTTTCCGTGAAGCCCCTTTAGTCACACGATCGTGGGCCTCTAGGAACGCAAGTGGCCGATCCTCCACACTAGGGCCCGCATCACTAACCCTATAAGCATTAAATACCAGATGGATAGGCCCAACCCATTACATAATGGACTATTATAGAAAAGAACATTATTGACACAACACAAAATATCCCAACACTTCATTAATCCATAAATAAGAACTAACCATAGGAAAAAAGTGGATTCAAAACTAAACGAAAGTGTTTTTATTATCTTGATTACATCCGTTTTTAGTTAAGAGTTTGTTTTAAGTTAATCTGAACTTGCAAAACCAGATAAAACCCCCACTTTAGTTAATTGTTTTTAGATTAATTTTTAGTAGTTAAATTATTAGCTAAATTTGTTCCCTGTGTTCGATACCCAACTTACTTTACTATACTATATACTGACTAGGTACACTGCATATAGGTGCATTAGTAGATAAGTAGTTAGTTTTATAAATTTAAAGATAGATAGGTATAATTTGTGCACATCAAGTTTTTGGCGCCGTTGCCGGGGAACGACTTATTTGATTTTTTTATTTAATTGTTTTAGGTTAATCGATCCTTTTTGTGGGGTAAAAACCGCAAAAAGTTATTTTTCTGCATTTATTTTTTCTGTCTGACTTGTAACCACGTCGTGGTCACGTTGCAGTTCGTTTTTAGTTTTTGTTAGTTTTACGCGTGTGTTTTCCAGTTTTTTTAGCAGGAAATATGGAGGACATCACCACCATGTCAATAGAAGAGTATAAGCGACATATGGTGAACGAAAACAGATGGGGTCTTGATCCACCAAAAATCCCAACCACGACAAAGTTTGAACTACAAGGACATATTCTTGGCATGCTAAAAGATCTACCTTTTTTATGGGAAGGAGCACGAGGACGCCTATGAGCACATAGAAGAGGTGGTGGAGATTTCAAATTATTTTAACGCCCCAAACGTGAGTAAAGATGCGGTGATGCTTCGACTTTTACCGGTCACATTGAAGGGCGAAGCAAAAGAATGGTTAAAATCACTTCCCTTTGGAGCAATCATGACATGGGCTGATTTTAAGACTGGGTTCATAAACCAGTTTACCCCTCCTTCAAAAGTGGCGAAGCTTAAAGGAAACATACAAATTTTTCAACAATTAGAATGGGAGTCGTTATACGAAGCTTGGGAGTGTTACAAGATATTGTTACAACATTGCCCTCAACATGACTTCAATGTGCAACAAGAAATCTCGATATTTTATGATGGAGTCAATGTGTGCACTCGCCAACTTCTAGACTCTCAAGGGCCCATCACAAAGAAGGATCTGAAAACAAATAAATATTTAATTGAATAATTTTCCAAGCATTCAAGGGAGTATCACAACCCAAGGGGGAAGATATCACGAGACGAAAAGCGAATATAGATGGAGTTTCTAAAGTCTTAATGATTGTAATGGCAAAACTCGACGCCATGGAAAATAGTCTCACAAAGATTGATGGATCAATTAATGTGGTACTTGATAGATGTGAATAATGTGGAGGACCTCACTCTATAAGGGATTGTGAATTGGAATACAAGAGAGCTCAAGACACGACAAAGTATTAACAACTAGAGCATAATCTTTACCAACTAGAACGAGTCCAATCCGAGAAGATAGATGCTCTCGATTCGATGTTATTCAGATTCATGGAAGCTAGCGAAAAAAGACATGATGAAACTGATGCAACACTTAGAGATCAACAAGCATCTATTTTGAGCATCCACACACAAGTTGGGCAATTAACAAAACTTGTACAAGAAAAGCTATCGGATCTACCTTCAAAAAAAATCGAGTCAATCCCTATGGCTCAAGTCATGGCTATTGATACAGAAGAAGAAGATGAATTGGTGCATATGAAGGAATTTGAAGAGGAGTATAATCAGTCACTCGAAGTAAAAAAGAAAGAATAAGAAGAGTATCGTGAAGTTGCCCATTCGCCATGACGTGGAGGCAATAGTTCCACGTCGTGGGCAATAAAAGAAGATTATTGTTTTTCTGTTGTTGAGTCGTATCGACCACCTCTTCCTTTCCCATCCCGTGCCAAGGAAAACCTGCTGAAGCAAGGAAACACAATGTTCATGGAGCATAAAGAACTTGAAGAGAAATTGGAAAAAAAAGAAAAGCATTTGAAACCTCTAATGTCAATGCCAATGATTTTTGAGGTGTTTGCTTTTACAAGGCCACCAGATCAAGTCACAAAGATAGTTGAAGAAAAAGAAGAAGAATATGATGAGCCTCATTTTAAGAAGAAAAACTCAGAAAGAGACAAGACAAAAGCTAAAGACATGGGCATGAGGAAAGAACCCAAGCGAAAGAACAAAGAAGATGTCAACCCAACAATACAAGAAAGCTCAAGAAAGACATTCAACAGACTGGTTGCCTACAAACGAACAAGGCTCAAGATGACGGAAAACGGGTAGGTTACACTTCCACCTGACGCAATGTAGAGTGGGGAAGGAGTCCGACTCACGACTCTTCAAAAAGAAGCGCTTCTCGGGAGGCAACCCAATGTTTTTAGAGTTTGCATTTTCTTTTCTTTTTGATTTAGTTTTAGTTTTAGTTTTATTTTACCTTAACCGAATGATCATGTGTTTCTCTAGTCTTTTGTTCTTATTTTGTAATGATGAAAGAAGTGAAGGTGTGAAGGAGCTTAATTGGAAATAGTCGGGAGATTTTAGAAGACTAGAACCGAGAAGCCGCATTTTTGAATAAGATTGGGGTACCTAACGGGAAGAGTTTTGAAAAAAAGCACTCTGTGAAGACACCATGACGTGGTCATCATTACAACGTCATGGCAATTCTTACTTTCGCGATCAGATTTTTCTACCATCGACACCACAATGTGGCGTCACCTTCCCACATCGTGGTCGGGCTTCAAAGAAATATTTCAATATTTTTTGCACCATACTTTTTGAAGATGCAAGTCTCTGGTTCACATTTTTCCGGCACATTTACGAGTAGCTGCATGGGTCCAGTTTCTAATTACATTTTCGAGATGTCCAAGCTTTCCCACCAACAATCAGAGATCAACCTCGCAACTTCTATCCCAGGGGAGTCTATTCCTTTCTCTCCCTCTTTACTTTTATGTTTTGCATAGTATGCAATGGGGACATCGCATAAAATAAGTGTGGGGTAGGGGTTGATTACATTAGAGTACAAGCATTTGATTTTTACAAAAATTGCATTATCATAAAATAATTGCCAGTTTTGACAATATTCATTCACATAAACTTGAAATAATAGTGTAATTTAGGAAAATCTAGCCAATTAATTTTTTTTGCTAGTATTGTATTGGATGATCTGATGAGAGCCGAAATGTTTACCTGAGCCAATATATGTTATAATGTATTTATGGCTTCCCATTCCTAGTGAAAAGTCATGAGATATGAAAGGTAATCTGGTAGTTTGTATGATATAATACTTTTGCAGCGTGTATCTGAAATCTATCCAGGAGAGCTTATGTAGTCATTGCACTTAGACTAATATCTCTAACCAATAAAGGTTGAAGTTAAGCTCCCTTGCTTAAGCATGTAGGAATTGAGCAAAAAAAGTGAGTTATATAAAAAAAAGAGAGAAATTACAAAAAAGTTGTAAGAATTTTGGAGATATCAAAGTATGAATATGAAAAGATCAAAAATTCTGAAAAATCAAAAATTGAAGATACCAAAAATCAAACAAAAAGGTGTTGAATTCGAAGAAATCAAAGAGTAATTATCAAAGAAGTGATGAATTCAAAGAGCTCAATTATGGTATCAAAGTTGTAATTCTTTCTAGATCATATGTATACTTGGGAAACTTAAACAAAAATACCTTGAGGTTAAAAAAGATTTCTGAGGATGGATTCGGAGGTTGCAAAAATGGGTGTCGTATAAACTAAGGAGTGAATGTTCATAAGGATTGTGAGAATTTAGGATTGGGAAGTGTTTAGGAATTATAGACACAAATGTATGCATTGCGGTCTTAGGATAATGGTTGGGTTTAAAATGGATTGTTTTATGCGATATTAGTAAGTTAAAATTCAGTTTGCTTGGGGCAAGCAAAGGTTAAGTGTGGGGTATTTTGATATGTGCATATATATATATATATATATATATATATATATATATATATATATTTTTTAGCTATATTTATGCTTATTATAGAACAAAAGGTACTTATTATGTTTAATATCTGTTATGTAGCGTAAAAGACATGCTCGAAAGCAATATGGAAGCTGGAAGCAGGAAAATGCGAGATTAGACAAGAAGAAGACACAAGAAGGATGTTGTTGGACAACTTGACCCCTCGTCAGTATTTTGACATATCTCATGACTCGTAACTTCGATTAAGGCGATTCAAAATGATTTGAAAACTAGACACAATTTCGGACAACTTTCATGTTTTGAGATAATGTTGATTCTCGATAACCACGACGTGGTGAATGGAATCTTCGCGATTCTTGACGCTGACTTGGAGAATACGGGATATACTCGAGGACCACGACGTGGTGGCCAGATTTTAGGCAAGTATATATATCCGAACATTATGCCGAATTAGGGGACTTGGAGGTGACTTTCTAGAGAAGTATTAAGACAAAAACCCTCTTGAAAACCCTTAGAAGAGGAGGAAACATGAGCTCAATTTTGGAGCTCATGTTTAGCTTTATTCCTATTGAGTTTCTGTGTTTGATTACTGCCATGAGTAGCTAATTTAGTAGAATTTCGTTTAGTTAGATGAAACCCTAATAACCATGGTTTAGTTTATTAGTTTATGGATTTATAAAAGTTGGTTTGGAGCTTGTGTTTGATTAACTTACCTAGCATGTTAAAGTGTTTCTCTTTGTTGCTTTAATTGAAGTTAAGTGTAGCTTAATGACCATTAAATTACATGAACTTGTTACATAGTAATTTAGTTACCATTAAATTGCTAGAGCTAGGAGTGACAACATCTTAGATAAAGTAATAAAAGTAACAACTTTAACTGTGTTGGAGAACATAACTGTGATCATAATTGTGTTTGATTAATTGTCTTGACCATAGATAATTATCTTAGATATATCTTACATAGCCCAATCATCATTAATAATCAATTATGTGTTTTCTTGTGTATGGCCATTGCAAAATAGAACATGAATTGGTAAAAATATTAGTAGATTGGACCAAAATTGCTAATTACATATAAATTGGTAACCAATTTCATTAATCCATAAATGAGAACTAACCATAGGAAAAAGGTGGATTCAAAACTAAACAAAAGTGTTTTCATTATCTTGATTATATCCGTTTTTAGTTAAGAGTTTGTTTTAAGTTAATCTGAACTTGCAAAATCAGATAAAACCCCTACTTTAGTTAATTGTTTTTAGATTAATTTTTAGTAGTTCAATTATTAGCTAAATCTGTTCCCTGTGTTCGATACCCAACTTACTTTATTATACTATATACTGACCAGGTACACTGCCTATAGGTGCATTAGTAGATAAGTAGTTAAGTTTATAAATATAAAGCTAGATAGGTATAATTTGTGCACATCACAGTCCATCTACAAAACAAAATAAGTTGTCATTTTGTATCCTCTTTTCCATGTTCTCGATAAAAGGCAGCTTCTATGTAAACCTTTACCTATACTAATGTTGTTTGAAAGTTCGACATCATGATGCTCGTCTACAACCAATATAAAGAAATTCATTCGGACGAAGGCATGTAAATGCAATTCTTCATCAATTTTCAAAGATAAAAAAACATTCACACTTAGTGTAAACCATCCAATTCTTCATCATTTATTTATATAAAGTTGAGAAAAACATATATAAAACTCATAAAAGCAGATTTTTTTTTGTAGATTCAACTTAAATTGGAAGTTTTTGATAGGGCATGACAAAGTATCGTATGATGAAACAGTAAAAGGGTTCCAAGAACTCTTGAAAAGAGAATATTGAATAGTGCTTACCATTTGGAGGTGACATTAACAATAAGTAAAACATTTCCCTTGTAAATGTTGAAGTATCATCATTATCCTTGGCATCTTGTATAAAATTGAAGATCAAAGCACCAAAAATAATTGAAAAAAAGAAAGTAATCACTAAACACAATAAAAGTTTATGAGATCTAACCCAAGTAAGATAAAAAAAAATCTACAATGGGGTGAGAGCTTCAAACCGCTTCAGTTCCACTATGTTTTTCTCTCATTTCTTCCATACCAATCTCGCTTATCCCCTGTTACATATCATCATTCATTATCTCATGTTAGTTTAAGTATTCAAAACATCACAAGTTACAACAAAACATTAACAAAAAGGAAAGATTTAGAACTTTTTTCTTTTACTTGTACATATATGTGACATCCCCAATTTCACGTCTAGAAAAGACTGATTTATTTGTGCTTATTTTAAAATCAAAGTATCATTTTTAAAGAATAACATTACGGAATTTGTTCCCAAAAACATGATAATGATATTATCGAAACATTTTCAAAGAAACGTATTTTATTTATATTAAAAACGTTGGGATGTCATCGTCAATACATTACATAAGCATAAACGGAAGTAATACATGCCTTACAAACATTTGTTATTATATTGGCCTGTAATCCATAAATCTCTCATCAATCATCACAACTATGCTCTGGTGAGCACATATGGTTTTCAACCTACAATAATTAAATTCTTTTGATTATATATATTCATCAAAACATTCAACCCGATTACCCATTCTCGTTATCCTCACATTCTTTCCCTAAGGGATCTAATTCAAGCGACCTATCGTAAGGAATCATCTTCGGGGTAGACAATATTGCTTATGGGATTCCTTAGCCATATACGTCAATAAGGCAACCGGGGGGGGGGGGGTGGAGTACACCTGGTGAACACTTCGTTCAAAAACACCTATAGGTTGTGAGCATGCTAGCGTTCTACTGGACTGTCTAGAATAGTCCGTGGTCATCATCTATACTCCGTTGGACGACTAGATCATCTTTAAAGTCAAGGCATCTCATCATCTATTTCATCTTTTATCTACCTATTTCTACCCAATATATGTATAGGTATAAAAATACATATATAGTTTGAATCAAGTAAAACATGTATAAATCGTTCATCTAGCATAGATATTAGGACCACAGATAATAAGAAAAAATAGCATGTAATTATCTTAAATATGTTACGTCTATGTGTAAGATGAAAGTAACTATTCACTCACTTATTAAAGGTGGATGACTCGAATGTTGGACAGCGCTTCGCTTTATCATTTGGTTTTTCCTTTGATATGACCTAGGTTCAATTATCTCTAAGTCTTAGTTTATTATCTCTTATGACTAATTAATAGTCTAGATCTCTCAGCAATCCCAGTGTCTATTTGATCTATAGTTGATAAGAGACAATCAGGTAGGACCATATTAGAGGTAGGGTTTGTTTGGTATACAAAGTATACTCTTTTTGAAATCCCAC